CTAATAATGATGCTTACATGGAATTCTATCCTGATTGTTGTTCAGTAAAGGACAAGTCAACCAAGGTAGTGATAATGCAAGGGAATCTTAAAGATGGGTTGTATCAGCTGGATTTTCCTCACCAGACTACCAAGAGTCTCACCCAAGAGTCAGTTTTCATAAATAAATCCTCCTGCAGTTTGTCTTCTGTTGTTCCCAGTCTTGAATCTTCAATTACAACATCTGATGAATGGTATAAGAGACTTAGTCATCCCTCTAGCCAAGTGATGAACCAAGTACTCGAACTCTGTAATGTCAAAATTAAAGGAAATGAAATCAGATATTTTTGCAATGTATGTCAACTTGGCAAATCCCACTTGTTAACTTTCCCTTTATCTTCATCTCATGCTAAAACTCCATTAGAACTTGTGTTTACACACATATGGGGGCAGGCTCCTATCTTATCTACCTTAGGTTTCAAGTATTACATATCTTTCTTTGATGACTTTAGTAGGTTTACTTGGATCTATCCATTGAAATAGAAATCTGAAGCCTTAAGCGTGTTCATTCAATTCAAAAAACTCGTTGAAAACAAACTGAACTATAAAATCAAAACATTACAAGCTGACTGGGTGGAGAGTATAGAGTTTTCTCAAAGTTTTTTAACCGAGAAGGGATTGAGTTCAGGCATCCTTGTCCCTATACCTCAGCTCTAAATGGCTGGGTAGAGAGGAAGCATAGACACATCACAGAAACAGGCTTAACATTCTTAGCCCAAGCCAAACTACCCTTGAAGTACTGGTGGAAAGCTTTCCAAACTGCCACCTATCTCATAAATAGGCTGCCAACACCTATACTTCAAAAACGATCACCTTATGAAACTGTGTACAATAAGAAACCAAATTATTAGACCTTGAAGGTATTTGCATGTGCCTACTACCCATGTCTAAGACCTTATCAAAATCAGAAATTCAGCTTTCATTCAACCAAATGCACCTTTATAGGTTATAATGAGTCTCATAAAGGGTATAAATGCATAAGTGTAACTGGAAGACTATATATCTCAAGGCATGTGGTGTTTAATGAATTGGAATTCCCATTCGAGTGTGTAGCAGCCACCAAAGGACATTCAGAACCTATAGTGCTAGAAACCATTGTTTCTATTTCCACTTTCCTTCTGAACATACAGTGTCTATTATAAATCCTGCTGATACTACTCATTCTGAAGCTGCTCAAGCTAAATATCACTCATTCTCTATCTTAGATGCTAATCAATATAACAATGTACTACATGACGTTCTTGACAGTACTGAAGGAACTGATGAAACAGATGTCAAGGCACCGAACAAAACATGCCATAGGTTAATGAAGAACCCTTGCAATCAAATGATGATGGTGGTAGAGAAATACCTTAACATAGAGCATAAAATTTGAATGAGCATCCTATGATTACTAGAGGGAAAGCTGGAATATTCAAACCAAAAATTCATCTTGTGAAGCTGACTAATAATCTCTCAGAACTTAAGAGTGTAACTGAAGCTATGATGAGCATTGATTGGAAGAAGGCAATGGAGGAAGAATTTAATGCCTTGACAAGACTAAAACCTGGGAGCTTGTGCCTCCCTTGCCAACATACAACATTGTTGGGAATAAATAGGTTTTTAGACTTAAACAAAATACAAATAGCATAGTACAGATGTTCAAAGCAAGACTCGTGGCAAAGAGATTCCATCAAACTCCTGGTATTGACTTCTATGAGACGTTTAGCCCCGTGATTAAACCATCAACCCTCAGAATTATACTCACCTTGGCAATAACAAAGTGATGGTCAATCAGGTAAGTGGATATTAACAACGCTTTCCTCAATAGAGAACTAGAGGAGACTGTGTTTATGAATCAGCCAGAAGGATTTTTGGATGAATCAAAGCTTAATTATGTCTGCAAATTAGGCAAAGTGCTCTATGGATTGAAACAGGCACCTAGAGACTGGAATGAGAAGCTAAAAATTACGTTCTTGAGTTGGAAATTCAAACAATCTGTGGCAGGCACTTCACTTTTCTATTTCAAAAATGAATCAAATAATTTTCTCACTCATCTATGTAGATGATATTGTGATTACAGGCAATGACACAGCTCTACTGCAGGAATTCATTGACAATCTGAACAAAACATTTACCTTGAAGGATATGGGAAGGTTGCATCACTTCCTTAGAGTTGAGGTGTTATGGTATGATTTTGGAATTCATCTCACATAGACTAAGTATATTACTGACTTGCTGGAAATGTTTAGATTGCCAAATGTAAAACCCTGTATCACACCTATTCCTGCTGGCAGATCAATGTCTAAAGGTGATGGAGAAGCGTTAAAAAATGCCACAGCTTATAGAAGTGTTGTAGGAGGATTGCAGTACCTCCAATATACCATGCCAGATATCACTTTTGCTGTCAACAAATTAAGTCAATTTCTACAAGCTCGAACATCATTACACTGGCAAGCACTGAACAGAGTATTGATGTATCTTAAAGGAACAATGAACCATAGACTTTGGATTCAAAGGAGTGATAGACTCACGTTGAACGGAAACTCAGATGCAAACTGGGCTTCCTACCCCGATGATAGAAGATCTACCACTGGGTACTGTGTTTATCTAGGTGATAACTTGATTAGTTGGTCCTCAAAGAAACAGCAGGTAGTGGCACGATCAAGTACTGAATCAAAGTATAGGGCACTTGCTTCTATTGTATAGGAAATAGCCTGGGTTCAATCACTCCTTCAATAACTGGAACTGCCGTTAGCTGAAACTCTAAATATTTGGTGTGATAACATGAGTGCTGGAGCCTTAGCAGCCAACCATGTGTACCATGCCAGGACAAAACACATTGAACTGGATGTGCACTTTATCAGAAATAAAGTAATAGCCAAGGAACTGGAAGTGAAATATATACAAACTTCAGATCAAATTGCTGACTTATTAACTAATGGGCTGAGTCATTCAAGGTTCCTCTTCTTGAAGGACAAGCTTGGAGTTACTTTAGTACCTTCCAGCTTAAGGGATGGTGTTAACTAAATTAACTGTAATGATCCAAGTCAGCTCCACATCAGCAAATCGAAGTTCCAGCTCGAGCATTCATCAGCCATTGATTTCCTTACTGTTTTGATACCGTTTTGATTGTAGTGCTACCACTAGTTTGTTGTAAAATATTCTAGACATGATCTACTATTTTAGGAACCAAATTCCAGCTGTAAATTCTAGATCCTTCTTTGTACAATTATCTTCATTATATAATATACCAGACCTCAAAAATGTAGGTAACGGTTGTTAGCATAATTAATATCTTCATTAGAATTTCTACTGAAATGAAGGAAATTTTTAGGTATTGAAATTAAAAGAAATAGAAAGGAAAGCATATTTAATCCCTGTAAAAAATCTTATGTTTTGAAATTGTTGGAAAAAATCTCTATGTTTGATGCTAAAAGTGTGAGTTTACCTTTAGCAAATCATTTTAAACTTTCAAATGATCAATGTCTCAAATCTGAAGATTAGTTCAAAAGAATGGCAAGAGTGTCATATTCCAATGCAATTGGGTCTGTTATGTATCTAATGGTTTATTCTAGACCTAATTTAGTATTCTCAATAAGTGTATTAAGTATATATATGTCAAATCCAGATGAAACTCATTGAGAAGCTATGAAATGGCTTTTTAGATACCTTAAGGGAACTTGTGACTTGGTAATTCAATATAAGAAACAATCTAAAGGTGTCTTGAAGGGTTACACTGATTCTGACTATGCACGTGATAGAGACAATAGGAAATCCACTTCTGCCTATATGTATACTTTGTGTAATTCTTGCATAAGTTGGATCACAATTACAAAAAATTGTTGCATTATCTTCAACTGAAGCTAAATATATAGCTGCAACAAATGCTATAAAAGAGAGAATTTAGCTAAAATGACTTTAAAATGAATTTGGTTTTGTTAAAGATGTTGTTTTGTATTCTGATAGCCAATCTGCCATCTATTTCAGTAGGAATCCTGTTTTGAACAATAGATCAAAACATGTTGATGTGAAATTTTATTTTATTAGAGATGTTATCTTACAAGGTGTTGTAAAATTTGAGAAAATTTCTACTTATTTTAACCCTGCTGATGTTGGTACCTAAGTGCTGCCTTTAAATAAGGTTTTAGACTGTTTAAACCAGCTGAACATTAACAATTGCTGGTTTTTGTATTAGGAATAAGAGCAAATGATGCCATGATGGAAAAATCACTATAGATAAAACTGGGATCATTGTACAAATGTAGAGATTGTGGATAAATGTCACAATGATGAGGCTTTTCAAATCTGATCTTATTGTTGTGTTAGGTCGGTTTGATGGTTGGTTGGTTTGCTAGCTGGATTATTTCTTGTTGGGCTAGACCATTATTACTTGGATCATTTGGTGGCTTCTATTCTCATCCGGTTATAAGCGTGTTTTACTTTTTATGCATTTTTACTAATAGCTGGATGGATGAGATGTTGCCAAGTGTCGCCCCAATGACCGTTGGATGGAGACCTTTAGGAGACTTCTCATATACTTAAGGTTTGAGTTTGATGTGTACTGATTCATTCTCATTCTTTCGAACTCTTTGTATTCTCTCTGCACTTTCTCGCTTTCTCTATTCTGCACTCTGAAAATTGGAAGCCTTATTTTAGATCTTTAATTTGTGTTGTTCGTAGTTCTTTGTATAGATCTTGAGTGATTTGTAAAAGGTTATTGTGGTTTCCTTGAGTGGATCCTTTTTTCGATCCGTTTGAGGGCTGTTCCTTTTGATATAATCTTGAGTGATTTCATCTTAGTACCTTGTATATTTTGAACAGTTTTTTGGTTCCGATTAATATAGTGATTTCTTCCGGTTGGCGGAAGCTCAAAAGTGGATTAGGAACTCCGATTTTGAACCTCTTGCCTTAGGGAGAAAATATCATGTTCTTTACTTCTTATTTCAAGTGGCTAATAAATCTGAACTTTATCGTTACAGCCTAGTATGATTTCCCGAAGGTTCCATTCCCAATAACCTCTGCAGAAGCCCTCAACATATCATTGATGTCGAAAGAAGGATCAAAACCCTCAGTAAATACAAGCTTCTGCTGAAGGAGATACCTTTTGCTCATCATTCTAATATCCTCCAACATTTTTACTACTTCAGATATTTTAGGTCTCTTCTTAGGGTTTTTTGCCAACTCATCCCTATTTGTAATATTTTTATCATCTGTTCCTCTATGTTACGATTCCTTGAGAGCTCCACATCAAACACTTTAGTAGTATGCTTATTATGATTGACAGAATTAACCAATTTGACTAGGTCAAAAACCCGGTCTCCACCTGTGGAATGTAAAGGGGACTTCCGCGTTAGAAGTTAAGTAGCAGGATTCCAAAACTGTAGACATCAGATGCCTGGGACACGTTCCAGGTGTTTTTGACTTCTGGGGCATGTTACAGTTCAGTTCGTGTGACCTATGTCACTATCATGTTTGCCAAGCCAAGATCAAACACACAACCATACTGTTCTGAGTTAGGAAAATGTACGAGGTTTTTATGTTTCCGATGAAAAGCTTTCCACCTTTTTGTGTATGAATGTGAGCAATACCGCTTGCTGTACCGGCTGCAATCCTTACTCAGGTATCCGAGTCTAAATGAGTTCTATTCTCTCCGGCTTTTCCTGGTAAATTGAGAAAATGCATTAGACTATATAGTCGACTTCTCATGTAACTAGAAGGTATCATAATGCTGATTGAGGCTCGAACATACTAAGTTTATTATATGAAGAAGAAATCAGAGTGTCATTCAACATGAACTTGCTTCTAAAACGAATAAATTTTGCCTCTAAAATAGAACTCATTCCAGCAAATAGCTTCCAACATCAAATACATCTTCGCAAACTGAATCTGCAATAAGAAGAGCTTTTGAAATGTGACAACTCGTGTTGTCAACATCTATGATTGTACATGGGCGCCAAACCATGTATTTTTGGCATCTGCGCTATTTATTGCTGCCACACCATTTAGTGAATATTACTGTCTAAAATTAAATTTGAGTGGAGTAAACCGGGGGGGGGACAAGAAAGTGAAGTCATGGGGATGGTCAACATACCATGTAACATTGCAGATACGTTGCCATTACTATAATGATCATACAGCATTAGCTTTTTACCCTTTAAAAAATAGTAAGCCCTCAATGGAGATACATTGTCGTGCCTTACATTTCCAATAACCTCCATGGGATGTCTGAATTTTTTTTTCCTCGAATATTCACTGCTTTTAATCTTTTCACGACAATTTTTATTCCAATGTAAATTACTGCGATGTATGTACTTCTATTAGAATCACACATTGCTTGGAAAATATAAATAATCCACTTAATAAGGAGAGGGCACTCATACTCTAATAAGC